TCAGGGTTGATTTCTTTTAGGATTGACTGATTTGATCTTCTTGTAGTCCAAGAGACTCTCAAGAGTCTTCTCCAGCACCATAGTTCAAAAGAACCTATTCTTTGGCGCTCGGCCTTCCTTACAGTCCAACTCTCACAGCCATACATGACTACTGGGAATACCATCGCTTTGACCATGTGGACTTTTGTTGGCAGGGTGATGTCTCTACTTTTTATCATGCTGTTTAGGTTCAGTATTAGGCACCACAATTTAAGAAGGATAGAGACAAGCTGGAATGTGTTCAGAGGAGGGCAACGAAGAGGGTGAGGGGTCTGGAGACCAAGTCCTGTGAGGAAAGGTTGAAGGAGCTGGGTATGTTTAGCCTGGAGAGGAGACAACTGAGAGGTGATAGGATAACCATCTTCAAGTACTTGAAGGACTGTCATATATGGGATGGTGTGGGGTTGTTTTCTGTTGCCGCAGAAGGTCGGACGAGAACCAACGGGTTGAAATGAAATCAGAACATTTTTGGCTAAACATTAGAAAGAACTTCCTGACATAGCAATTCCTCAGTGGAACAGGTTTCCTCGGGAGGTGGTGGGCTCTCCTTCTTTGGAGGTTTTTAAGCAGAGGCTAAATGGCCATCTGATAACAATGCGGATTTTATGAATTTAGGCAGATCATGAGAGGGAGGGCAGGAAGGCTTGCCTCAGTGCTTGGTTCCTGTGGCCCTTTCTTACATGCCCAGGGAAATGCTGGTCGCCACTTTGGAGTCAGGGAGCAACTTTTCTCCAGGCCAGTTTGGCTGGGGATCCTGGAAGTTTTTTGTCATCTTCTGGGCATGGAACAGGGGTCACATGGGGTGTGTGTGGGGGGAGGTATTTGCGAATTTCCTGCCTTGTGCAGAAGGTTGGACTAGATGACCCTGGAGGTCTCTTCCAACTCTATGATTCTGTCTGTGAACGCAGGTGGCCCTTGATTCTCTCATGTAAATGTGTTTCTCTTCTGTCCCGTCCCGTTGCAAGGAGGACGAGATAGTTTACATCCTATCCTTATTCTCCTGTTGTGTTTCAGATCACAAACTATTTAAACTGGGTGGTGAGAAACCTGGCGGACCTGGAAGTACAAATGGGCGCAGTGAAGAAAGTGAACAGTTTTCTCAACATGGAGTCGGAGAACTACGAAGGCACCATGGGTAGGACTTCTAAGGGCACACACAAATTTGAAATATTTCTTGTCCTGCCATTTCATCTCCCAGGAGAAGGTCATGTTGACTAAAGCAGGGGTGCCCAACTTTTTTAATCCCGCGGGCGCCTTTGGAGTTCTGACACAGCATGGTGGGCGGATCCACAAAATGGCTTCCGTAAAATGGTTGCTGCAGGATCACAAAATGGCTTCCATAAAATGGTTGCTGCAGGAGGCGGAGATGGAGGCGGATACAGAACAGTTGCCCCAGCTTACCTTCTGTCACAAACGGAAGATTCTTGTGCTGTGGTGGCATCTGCTGCCAAAACATTTTTAAATATCTGCACAGCCAAGCAGATTTTCAGTGACCAATCAGAACCCTAGCTGGGCAAAAACTCTACCTGGCCACTCCCACTTTCTTAAAAACACTTGGCGGGCACCAGACCATAGTCCCAGTGGCACTTCCTTGGGGACCCCTGGACTAAGGCCTAGCGCAAAGAAAACAGCACAGATTGTCTCGGGACTGAAAGCTTTCCTGTGTTTTTTAAAATAAGTCTCCCTACACTTAGAAAACTGAAAGCAGAATTCAAGCCTCGTCTGATGTGCACATTTTGAGGGTTCAGATAATTATTTTCTTGGAGGAATATTAAAAATTGCAGGACTTTCGCCCTCTGAAGTGTGATGAGTCAGGAAAGGACAGGTCCTTTTTTGTTGTAGCCCCTTGTCTATGAATGCCCCCCCTCATTATTCTCCGCCTGGGGCCAGCCTCTTAATTTTCCAGTGACAGGCCAACATTTTGCTCTTGTCCAGGGCTTTACATCATTCCCTTGTTCAGACTTTAATTACTGACCTTTTTCATTTATGGTGACTTCCTTTTTGTTGTTTTTGTGCCTTTATGGTGATTTTGTTTTTGTCTTTTTAATGCATTTTTTGTGCTGATCTACTATCAGCGCATGAAACTGAAAGTTGGGCAGCAGAATTCAAGCCTCGTCTGATGTGCACATTTTGAGGGTTCAGATAATTATTTTCTTGGAGGAATATTAAAAATTGCAGGACTTTCGCCATCTGAAGTGTGATGAGTGGTCAGGAAAGGACAGATCCTTTTTTGTTGTGGCCCCTTGTCTATGAATGCCCCCCTCATTATTCTCCACCTGGGGCCAGCCTCTCAATTTTCCAGTGACAGGCCAAAATTTTGCTCTTGTCCGGGGCTTTACATCATCCCCTTGATCAGACTTTAATTACTGGCCATTTTCATTTATGGTGACTTCATTTTTGTTGTTTTTGTGCCTTTATGGTGATTTTGGTTTTGTCTTTTTTAATGCATTTTTTGTGCTAATCTACTATCAGCGCATGATAACTGGTACTGTGGACACAACTTGCAGGTGTTCATGTCTACCTCCTTTGCCATATTTCAGATGTTTCTCAAGTCCCCAAAGACTGGCCACAAGAAGGGGAAATCAAGATTGACAATCTGTGTGTCCGCTACGAAAACAACCTCAAGCCCGTTCTCAAGCATGTCAAGGCTTACATCAAACCTGGACAGAAGGTTTCATACCAGCTTTCATTTACTTCCTCTTGTCAAGTTCCCCACCAGGGGGAAAGCGAAGGAGATCTATTACAATTATTTAGAACCCTTGTAGTTTGCCTTTAGGAACTGCGGTGGCTCAAGTGGTTAAGACGCTGAACTGCAGGCTGTGGAAGGTCAGTAGTTCAGCAGTTCGAGACCTGGGTGCCGCATGATGGAGTGAGCTCCCATCTCTAGTTCCAGCTCCTGCCAACCTAGCAGTTCGAAAGCAAGAAATTGCAAGTAGATAAATAGGTACCACTTCGGTGGGAAGGTAACAGCGTTCCGTGCGCGTTGGTGTTTAGTCATGCCAGCCACATGACCACGGAAAAGTCTTCGGACAGCGCTGGCTCTTTGGCTTTGAAACGGAGATGAGCACCGCAACCCTAGAGTCAGATTCAACTGGCTTTCGAACAAGGGAACCTTTACCTTTACTAGTTTGCCTTTGCATAAACACTTACCACCAAAATGGCTTAAAACAATAACACAGGTAGACCAACATATAGTTAGGCATGCTAAGGACTTCATGGTGAACATGTGAGCCAAGGGACCATATTTTGTTTAAACACCCTCAGTTACATGCAAGGTAAGATGCTGATCAGTTCACTTTGATAGTCCATGGTGAAGGGTTAGGGTTAGACACTAACCGTGACCCTAACCCTAGTAACCATTGATAGACTTATCCTCTCTGAATCTCTCTCATCCCCTTTGAATGCTGTTTATTCCTACAACCATCTGGTACTCTCTGTGTAAAGTAGTATTTCCTTTTGTCCATCCTGAACCTACTGCCCATCAGCCTCATTGGATGCCCTCGAGTTTGGGAGAGGGAGGAAAAGATCTCTTTGTCAACTCTCTCTCCACCCCATAAATAACTTTATAAATCTCTATCATATCCCTCCCTATCAAATCTATCAAACCTCTATCAAATCAGATTATCTCATTTACTGGACAACAGGCAGAGGACCAGGTCACTTGAGTCATTAAGTTGACCAAAAGAGCATGGAATAGCTTGCAGTTCATCCCTTCTTTCTGCCAGTGCAATTGGAGGAGAAGGTGATGTGAATGACCTCTGCCTGAGTCCTTGGTGAGCCTCGGCCAATCAAAGTAGGCAATGCTGAACACGATAGACCAATGGTCTGATACAGGGGTCGTTTCGTAGAAAAAGAGCTAGGGAACTCATTAGCATAACTCATTAGCATATGCCACACACCCTGACATCACCGGAAGTGTGTCATAAGGCCACACACCCCGCCCCCAACGGTCCTGGCTGCTGCCACCGGCCTTGCAGCTCCACTGCCGAGCCCCATGAGGGGCCCGGCGGTGGACCTGCAAGGCCGGCGGGAGTGCAAGGAAGCCCCGCGAAGGCCCTCCCTGGCCCCAGGCAGGCAGGGGTGGGGAGAGGCAGGGAGGAAGCAACTTACCCTCCCTCTTCTCCTGCCTCCTCCTGGCTGAATGAGGGCCGGAAGCGGGGCGGCCGGAAGCGGGGGGCGGGGCTTCGTCATGTGGGGGCGGGGCTTCGTACCTCACCCGGGGGAACTGCGATCCCCCGCGTTCCCCCCCGAAATGACCTCTGGTCTGATATATTATAAGATAGTCCCATAGAACAGGGAGAGGCCATGGCTCAGTGGAAGAGCACTGGCCTTGCATACAGAGGGTCCCAGGTACAATTCTTTGACATCTTCTGTCGAAAGATCAGGTAACAGGTGATGGGAAAGACCTCTGCCTGAGCCCCTGGAGAGTCACTGACACTCAGAGTACTGACTTTGATAGACCAATAATCTGACTTAGTATTAGGCAGTTTCCTTTCCTTCCCTTAGAAGCTCATTGATCCACAGATCTTGAGCAGCAGAAAATAATTGCTTCTCCTCCTTCTCCTTCTTCTCCTCCTCCTTCTCCTCTTTCTCCTTCTCCTCCTCCGTCTGCTTCTTCTCCTTCTCTTCTCTTCCTCCTTCCTCTTCCTCCTTCTCCTCCTTCTCCTCCTCTTTCTCCTCCTTCTCCTCCTCCTTCTCTTCTCCTCCTCCTTCTCCTTCTTCTTCGCCTCCTTCTGCTTCTCCTCCTCCTCCTCCTCCTGCTAAAAGGACTGAGAGTAAATTTAGATGCTAAACTTAGGATCCATATCACTGAGCAAAAGAGCCAGGGTCTCCAGAGTGTAGGGGGACAGCTGGTTGATTAAAGGCCTAAGGTAGTGATTCCTTGTATTCTCAAAGAGCCTACATTCAAGCAGGCCATGCAAGGACACATCTATCCTATTAAGGTCAGAAGAGGGCTTATTCAAAAATCTCCTCTGTAAAACCATTGTAGGTATAATATTCAGTCTTGCAAACAAAAAAGCTCTACAGTAATGTGGGGTGGTAAAGTAGTACAGATGGGGGGGGAGGTAAAGATCTTGGGAAAGAAGGAACAAAAGACAGGGGTGAGCAAAGTCTGCGAGCTCTCAGGATCAGACTACTATAGAAGATTTCTAGGACACACTTTTTGATCAGAGGAAATGCTTTGGATTTACCCATCTCAAAAATACCATTAATTGACATTCCAGCTATCATCAGTTTCTCATCCACGGCTTTCATCCAAGTTGATTTGTGGGTATCTCGATTTAGAGCTGCCAATGAACCATCTTCAGCACAAAACACTACTACCTACGGAAAATCTGCGGCACGGGCGGCCGTGTGATCACCGATGCGCCCGTCTCCCGCAGCATGCGAGGCCCCCTGCCAAACTGCGCAGGCGCACACATGCACAGCTGACTCGCCTTGCTCTCCTGTCCGTGGCTTTCCCCTCGCATCTGATCACGCTGGGGAGCATATGCGCAGCGGCTCGGGGGATCTGTCTGATCCCACTACCGCGCTTCTCTTTTGCTGCCGCTCCAAAAAGCCGCACTTCCGCCCCGGCTTTTCCTGCGGTGCAACCGGGGCCTTCATTAGGCCGCTTTAGGTGTTCACATGAGGTATCTCTTCATCTCCAGTCGACTATTCTGAATTCTGAAATCTCCCCTTTGGGTTCCCCCAAAACCAAAAGCTGGAATAAGCTAGAATGACGTTTCTCTCGCAGGTTGGCATCTGTGGTCGCACCGGAAGTGGGAAGTCATCCTTGTCCTTGGCTTTCTTCAGGATGGTGGACATATTTGATGGTAAGGAATGGCAAACAGTTACTGCTTGTGGTGGCCCCGCGGAACCCGAGACCCACCAATCCAAATTCAGTCTTCAAAGGTTTGATAACCCTCTTCTTTTTTTCTGCCAAAGTCTGACTTTAGAAGTGCTAAGTGTTGGCACTTACTGGTTGGGATACTACCAAATGTTCAACCTCCCACCATCATCTGAGAGGGAAGGCAGCATGGTATAGCCCAATTTCATCAGATCATGGGAGCTAAGCAGGATTGATACTTGTATGGCAGACCACCAAGGAAGGCTCTGCAGAAGAACGCAATGGCAAACCACCTCTGCTTCTCACTTGCCTTGAAAGCCCCTTGCTGGGGTCACCGTAAGGCTTGGATGAGAGACCACCAAGGAAGGCTCTGCAGAAGAACGCAATGGCAAACCACCTCTGCTTCTCACTTGCCTTGGAAGCCCCATCCTGGAGTCACCATAAGGCTTGAGTGAGAGACCACCAAGGAAGGCTCTGCAGAGGAAGGCCATGGCAAACCTCCTCTGCTTCTCACTTGCCTTGAAAGCCCCTTGCTGGGGTCACCATAAGGCTTGGATGAGAGACCACCAAGGAAGGCTCTGCAGAGGACGGCAATGGCAATCCACCTCTGCTTCTCACTTGCCTTGGAAGCCCCATCCTGGAGTCACCATAAGGCTTGAGTGAGAGACCACCAAGGAAGGCTCTGCAGAGGAAGGCCATGGCAAACCTCCTCTGCTTCTCACTTGCCTTGAAAGCCCCTTGCTGGGGTCACCGTAAGGCTTGGATGAGAGACCACCAAG